TGTTATAGGATTCTAAATCCTTATGACACCCTGGTTAGGGCAGGTTTTATTCCAATACTGCTCACGGGAGCCTAAGAGGAAAGGGACCTGCCAAAGGTCCCTAGCAAAAGAAACCGAAGGGGAACAGGACTGCTGTCTGCAAATACCTGAAAGGCTGTCATGCAGAAGAGAAGAAGAAGAAGAAGAGATTGGATTTATTCCCCGCCCTTCACTTGGAGTCTCAGAGCGGCTTACAAACTCCTCTCCCTTCCCCTCCCCACAACAGACACCCTGTGAGGTGGGTGGGGCTGAGAGAACTCTGACACAAACTGCTCTTTTTCAAGGACAGCTGTGCCAGAGCTTGTGACTGACCCAAGGTCACATCAGCAGGTGCAAGTGGAGGAGTGGGGAATCAAACCCGGTTCTCCCAGATTAGAGTCCACGCACTTAACCACTACACCAAACTGGTGTACACCAAACCTGTTTCTCTGCTCAGCAGGGGTGCCCACAGTGTTCGGTATGGTAACCTACAAGTCCGAGTTTACTTGGTATGGTGACCCAGGCAGGGCTGGTCCAAACTGTGTGGGTGCCCTAAGCAAACTATGAATCTGGCGCCCATCTAGTTCAGCATTCTGTTTTCTACAGGGGCCAACCAGATGCTTCTGAGAAACCAAACAACAACACATGAAGGGAACAGCTGCCAACACTGTGAACCCCCCACGAGTGGCATTCCGACACACGCAGCCTTTGCACGTGGAGGTTCGATTCCAGCCTCTGACCGCCCGCTCCTTCACCATCACTCCCCTTCTAATGTCCTGGCCCTACTGGTGGACCTCCTGATGGCACTGGTATTTCTGGCCACTGTGTGACACAGAATGTTGGACTGGATGGGCCTTTGGCCTGATCCAACATGGGCGTCTCTTATGTTCTTATGTTTAATCCCCCCAAAGGGTCTGAGAAACTCACTCTGGTAGCCGTCAGGACACCTTTCACTTGATCACATGACTGTGCAGTAAGAAAAAATGTCAACTAATGTATGATATGGAAGACGTCCAGGGTCAGATCTTGGTTTCCAAAATACAAAAGAGAGCAGTGGAAAAGGGACGGGGCCGCCAATAGGGAGAGTTGGCCCGTGACCCACTTTTGGATCACGATTCACAGGTTGGGAAACACGGCTTTAGAGGACAGGACGCAAGCGATCAATAGTTCATTATGGTTGCCCTGTCCTGGATAGCCCAGGCCAGCCCGATCTTGTCAGGTCTTGGAAGCTAAGCAGGGTCGACTCTGGCAAGTCCTTGGATGGGGAGACCTCCTTGGAATACCAGAAGTCGGGAGGGCGGGGGCAGGCTTTATTCAGCCACCTCTCTGAATATCCTCCAGGCCTCCAGTAGGGGTCAGTCACCAGAGGTCGCCATGGCTTCCAGGTGCGTGCAAGCTCATATGCACGCACGCACACACGTACATATCAGGGGAAAAAACCAGTGATTTTTTATTATGGTCATGGACCAGCAGAGTAAAACATATATTAGTACAGACGGCAGGACTAGATTGCATGGGCTTAAGATAAAGGAGGGTTGTTTTCAGGAAAACCTTTGGAGAAACTTCCTAATGGGAAGAGTACCTCAACAAAGGACACGAAAGACACCCAGCAGAGTATTAAGAACATAAGAGAAGCCAACGTTGGATCAGGCCAATGGCCCATCTCGTCCAACACTCTGTCACACAGTGGCAAAAAATACCAGGTGCCATCAGGGGGTCCAGCAGTGGGGCCAGGAAACTGGAAGCCCTCCCACTTTTGACACCCCCCAAGCACCAAGAATACAGAGAATACTCTTTCCACATTCTCATTTTTCTCGCTTGTACTTTCTTGTTGCTTTGGGTTTTCTTTTTCTGTTCCGCATGTGTTCTGCTGCCCTCTCAAGTGGTCGATTCAATATTACATTGGTTTTATGTTCAGGATATCTCCCTGCAGATTTAAATCACAGTTCTTTATGCCAGACATAAAGCAATGTAATATCAAACTGACCACTAGAGGGAGCAAAAGATGTGCAGAACAGGGGAAAAAACCAAGGCAACACGAACACACATGCAAGGAAAATGAGAATGCAGAAAAGCCCCATACACACCTGTTTCCCTCCTCCTCTCCAGCCTACAAGCCTTACCACCAATGCTCCCTCTAAATTGTGGAGTCTTGTGAGCAAAAATTCTACTCTGTGAGCTACTGGTATTAAAGTTGTGAGCGAGCAATTTGGCTGCTGCATAAATTATACAAAAAATACAAGGGGGACCAGCAATTCAAAGATGTACAAAAAAATGAAGGAAATTGCTGCAGAGTTCACAAGTAATAAAGAGACAAAAATCAACTTGTTACAAATGACGTTGAGTGATGTTAGTATTCTATATTTTCATGTTTTCAGAACACAGGACGTCAAAAACTGAAGAAGAGCGTACGAACATCTCGAGTGGTTGTTCGTTTCGAGACAACTCTTTCTCAACCAAAATTCAGTTTCAAACACGGATAACAAGTTTGAAACTTGTTAGCCCACGTGCTGTTAAAACTATTGTTGGATAAGATTGACATCACTGCTAAATATAATAAGACAACCAGAGAACTGAATTTTGGTTGAGAAAGAATACTAACATCACTCAACGTCATTTGTAACAAGTTGATTTTTGTCTCTTTATTACTTGTGAACTCTGCAGCAATTTCCTTCATTTTTTTGTGCTGCATAAATTAGTTGGCTCTGGAGCCATCCTTCCTGAGCTAAGACAAAAATGTGTGAGCCGGAGGCTAAAAACCTGTGAGCTAGCTCACACTAACTCAGCTTAGAGGGAACACTGCTTACCACTTCTGCTTGCACTGCCTCCAGTGCCTGGTGCCCACTTTGGCTTCGACTTCCACCCATGAGATTCCCTTGTAGAGATTCTCACGCTCCACGGAGAGAGCTTTGCATTTATCCTCCTCCTCCTCCTCCGGACCTGAGTCAAACTCCTTGCAGTTCTCCTGCAGCGTCTCTTCAACAGCCTGAAGAAGTCTCTTCGTCTCCTCTTTGCTCCACGGGCCAGTTTTGGGCTCTGAAGTCACAGAGGAAGAAAGAGATGCCTTTAAAAGAGTAGGCCAGGACACAGGATGGCTGTGAGCAGAAAGAACCCTTTCCTCGCAACAAGGACAACTGGCAGAACCCGGAAACCGGACCTGACAACCCTGAGTCTGATGTGAAGTGATGTGAAGCCACAGTGTTCCCCATTATTATGTACGGGTGTGAAAGTTGGACAATGAGAAAAGCTGACACGAGGAAAAGCTGATTCGTTTGGAGGAGAGTGTTATGGATACTGTGGGCTGCCAAAAAGTCAAATAAGAGGGTTCTAGATCAGGTCACGCCTGAACTCTCCCTAAAAGCTAAGATGACTAAACTGCGTCTATTGTGTGTGTGTACAGCCATGAAATTAAAAGACGCCTGCTCCTTGGGAGGAAAGCTATGGCAAACCTAGACAGCATAATAAAAAGTAGAAACATCACCCTGCCAACAAAAGTCTGTATGGTCAAAGCAGGTCAAAATAATGGTATTCCCAGTAGTAATGTATGGCTGCGAGAATTGGACCATAAGGAAGGCTGAGCTTTCAAATTATGGTGCTGGAGAAGACTCTTGAGAGTCTCTTGGACTACAAAATCAAATCAGTCAATCCTAAAGGAAATCAACCCTGACTCTTCCCTGGAAGGCAAGATACTGAAGCTGAAGCTCAAATACTTTGGCCACCAAATGAGAAGGGAGCACTCATTGGAGAATGATGCTAGAAAATATTGAAGGTAAAAGAAGAAGGAGACAGCAAAGAATGAGATGGTTAGACAGCGTTATCGATGTAACAAACATGAAATTAAGCAAACTCCGGAGGACGACAGAAGACAGGAGGGCCAGATGTGATATGGTCCACTCGACTGTGCGACTGAACAGTGTATGGTTGGGTCTTCTCTCCTTCTCACCATGAAATGTTGGTTGTTTTGCTGCTTCTTCCGTGGACCTCTTTCTTCAAGACTGGTAATTATAGCCTTCCCTGAAATTGCTTTCCCCCCTTTTCTCCCTAATTTCCTCTAAGCTCACTTTGTATGTGTTTTCAGTGTGTTATATGCATGCTTTATCCTTCTAATCTCTTTTAAATAAAAACCTTTTCTGGTTGAACATCTGCCTGATTAATTTTGAGAGTTCTCTTAAGGGAAAAATCCCCATAAACACTGGTGGAATATCCCAGTTACCCCTTCTCACTTTATCTCCTTTAAAGCTAATCCCCCCAAACTAATTGGGAGACCACCTCTTTGGGTAACAGGGATGGATCGCAGGAAAACAACCATGAAGCTGCTGTGTAGAAGCGAAGGAAGTCAGGGTCTGGCCAGTGTTCGGATGGGAGGCCTTCTGGAACCCCACTGTATATGCCTTGATTGCCAGAGTGGAAGAAAGATACATGAATGGGTGAAGGAAAGAGATCACAGGCTCTTTTGGGGAGTACATACCCCTCTCCTTGACCTGGCAGGCCAGATCAAGTGATGTACTGTTTTGCTTTGGAAAAGTTAGTCACAAATTAAGTCACATAAATATGCTAACTCCGTCACTACGTAAGACATAACTCCAAGCCACACCATAAAGCCTATGTGCAGATGGATCGCAGCTACAGTAATAAAAACCACTATGCATTGTTATGACCCAATTATTCATAATAAACTTAACGACACAGAGGGAAAAAAATGATGCTTTGCTTGCACTATTTTTAAACAGTATGTCTTAGTTTGGCTTTGCTTTTGTTTAAATGAGTATACAGCCAATATCAGATCAAGTGATGTATTGCCATTTTAAATAGGAAGAAAGTGCTCTGTCTCCTCTTTGGGAAGGCCATACGAGACCAGGAGAGGTAAACTAAGACTGATTTCGCACAAGGAGCTGTGCCGCCGTCATGCCTCCCTTTGCCCCATTTCCATTGGTCAATTTCCCACTTGAAGCTGCGTGGCTGCATTTTGACCCGCGGCTTCGCCCGATTTCCCCCGCAGTTTTCTCAAAAAACAAAATCACGAAACCGCGGGGAAAATCGGGTGAAGCCGCGGGTCAAAATGTGACCGCAATGGCGGCACAGCTCCTTGTGCGAAATCAGCCTAACTGGAAATGCCCCCTCCAGCTCATCCCACCTGTAGGGGCTGTTGGAAGGAGCACCTATCCTCACCTGCATCATATCAAAACAGACCACGGGTCTTTATTGGGAGGGACCCTTGTGAGCCCAGGCCAATTCCTTATGCCACCAGGGTTTAACCAAAAAATGAAAATTTAAAGATGGGGCATTCTTCCAGGCTGATTCCACTGTCTCATTATTATTTTTATACCTAGCAAATATTTACTAAAATGCGACTGACCCATATTTCAAAAGTATTGGGAAGCTTCGTTTGTTTACAACACTTTATAGTTCCAGAGTCCATCACAAACACTAATTAGGCACACGCAGAAGAAGCGGCTATAAAATAACACCATCTGTTTCTTGGAACAACAGCTGGCAAGATAAAAGTGGATTTGGGGGGGGGGGAAGAAAGAGAAGATAATAACAGCATTGTTTCCTTTCAACTTGCACGGAGGAGCTGTGGGCCAACCGCGGCCTAGTGCTGGGCGAGTTCAACAGCACGGACTCCAGTTCATTAATTCCCACTTGGTGTTTCGTTTTCTTTTTTGCAAAGTTGTGGGTTAAAAATCAGAGAACAAAGCACGGTCCAGATTATACAGCCAGAGAATCCGGGGGGCGGCGGGGAGTGTGAAGAATTTCCAAATTATTTCTCCCCTTTCCGCCCCCAGTTCTCTGTGGATTCCCAGTTTGTAGATTATAATGTCATCTGCGTATCTGGATGCCAGATATAAAAACTCCAATCTATTCCCAGTGGTGCTCAGTCAAAGATATATCCAGTGAGGTGGCTCACTGCCTACAATACTGCCTTTTCCCAGGGTTACCGATGTGCCACGGTACCTGCCAAGTGTTTTTTAGAAAGCGGGTGGGGGCCGGGCAGGGCTTTTCTCCAGCAAGGATTCTGATTGGCTGTGCAGATTTTTTAAGAATGTAGCTTTGGCGGCGGCAGCCACCACTGCACGAGGATATTCACCCATGTGACTGAAGCTAAACTGCGGTGGCCGTTTTGTGGCGGCCTTTACCACCTTCTGCGGCAGCCATTCTGTGGCAGCACACACCACCCTATGTCACAATTCCAAAGGTACCCACAGGCTCAAAAGGGTCAGGGAGTTCGGTGTAGTGGCTAAGTGCTCAGTCAAAGATATATCCAGTGAGGTGGCTCACTGCCTACAATACTGCCTTTTTCCAGGGTTACCGATGTGCCACGGTACCTGCCAAGTGTTTTTTAGAAAGCGGGTGGGGGCCAGGCGGGGTTTTTCTCCAGCAAGGCTTCTGATTGGCTGTGCAGATTTTTTAAGAATGTAGCTTTGGCGGCGGCGGCGGCAGCCACCACTGCACGAGGATATTCACCATGTGACTGAAGCTAAACTGCAGCGGCCGTTTTGTGGCGGGCTTTACCACCTTCTGTGGCAGCCATTTTATGGCAGCACACACCACCCATAAATCCAATCTCTTCTCTTCTCTCTAAGGGGAGTACTGCACAGAAAGATTCAGGAGCACAACCAGGTGAATGGACTTTGGGACGTTTTGCTACCTACTGCCTAATTTGGGGACAACACAGTCCATGTTAAATGATATATCCCCCTCCCCCGGGCAATCCAGGCCTAATGATAACACTGTGATGAACATGTGCTGACCTAGTGATTTAGGACTAATTGTGGTAACCTTTGGATCTGACAGCTCCTGTGGTTTCTAAATTCTTTTCTTTCTCTTTTTGGGCATGGAGAAGCCTTTTTTGTTTTGGTTGTTCATTCTTGGCAGGGGGTCGAGGCTGAAAGTGTCCACTTGTTACAAGATGCCAACAGAAAATTGAGGTAAACTCCTTCAGTGAAGACTTTCTACAAGGCAGGGTGGGTTTTGAATGTGAGAGGACGCTGGACTTGAAGACAGATTAGATTAGCTCCTGTTGAACTTTGGGGACGGACTTAACAGAGAGTTATGTTTTGAGATGGTTTCCAGAAAGAGACACTAAATTATAGACAACTGTAAACTATCATATCAATGTTGCTCAGTGTGCGCAATTTCAGAAGGCAGAGCCCAGCTTTTCACAGAATCTGGATTGCACTGTGGGTGGGAAAGGGGAGTCAAAATCATGCCCCCCCCCCTTTTAGCTTGAATTAGACACAGCTCTGGTCAAGAGGAAGGATTTGGAAAAAGGAAGAGAGAATAACATACTAGACTTAATCTGCGAGTACTTCAGTGCGACTGAGTGGCTGGTTCGAGACATCAGTTCGGAAATCTTTTTCCAGTTGTTGCCATAGATGGCCTGGTATTCCAACAGCTTCCTCTTCTCTTGATCAGAATACCTAAAGCGGGGGGGGGGGGGGGGGGGGAGGCAGTGGTGACAAAGCCAAGTGAAAATGGGGAACATTTCAATTTCAAGAACGGGGCAGAAAAGCTTCTGTATGAGACAGCAGACATTCAAAATAAAACACGCAGGGTTGATAAGACTTTTTACCAAGCCGTCTGAAGGTGCTGGCAAATGGCTAAGATCAGCAGCTGCCTATACCTGAGCAGTCTCTCTGGCAGACCCCATCTTGTGGAATGGCCTGCCTGAAGAGGTCAGGGAGGCCCCCACACTTCCATCATTCCTCTGAATGTAAGATACAGAACTATTCAGGAGGGCGTTTTTATAGAAGGACAAGGAATGTAGTTTATGCCACTATTTCTGCATGCATCTCTTGTTTTGACTGCAACTTCTAATGGCTGCAATCCAGTTTTTGCATTTCTTATGCCACATCATACGGTCCTTATTGCATAGTTTACTAACTTTGCAATCGCGTTTTACTACAGTGTCCATGATATGTCTTACGGTGTTTCCTATTGCATCGTTAAATCTTGTAACCCGCCTTGAGTTTCAGCAAGAAAGGCAGACAACAAATAAGTGTAACATTTTGTATGAATTTTTAAAAATGCAGCAGTCCCATCTATTGTAAGCTGCCTTTAACTTTTTTTAAGGGGGGGGATAAAAGTAGATAAATGTAAATAATTCATATAAGCAACTCAGATACATGATGTACAGTTGTACAGTTTGGTTGGTTCAAACAAGAGTTTAAAACTAACGGTAAACAAAACACACTGCATCTATTAAGATACCTGCTCCAAGAATCTCTGGTTTGTATTTTACAGTTCAGAACAATAAGAACATAAGAGAAGACCGTGTTGGTTCAGGCCAATGGCCCATCCAGTCCAACACTCTGTGTCATGCAGTGGCAAAAACCCAGGTGCCATCAGGAGGTCCATCAGTGGGGCCCGAACCCTAGATGCCCTCCCACTGTTGCCCCCCAAGCCCCAAGAATACAGAGCATCTCTGCCCCAGATAACCCTAACCCTATACCTTGTGGCTAATAGGACACTAATGGACCTCTGCTCCATATGTTTATCCAGTCCCCCCTTGAAGCTGTCTATGCTTGTAGCCACCACCATTTCCTGAGGCAGTGAATTCCGTGTGTTAATTACTCTTTGGGTGAAGGAGTGCTTCCTTTTATCTGTTCTAAGCTTACTGCTTGTTAATGAAGAGAAAAGGAAGCAGGGGGCGGCATCTCTGACAATACTCTCCCCACTGTACAAATGGCTAAGATCAGCAACACGTCCACTCTCAGCTGTGACCCCCACCCCAATGCTCTGCATAGGGCAAAACTCAGGCTGGGTTCTGGACCCGCATGTCTCAGCCCCCGCCTCCCCCCAATTTTTACATGAGCAGGGAGATGGCTGATTTGTTTGGATGCAATGGATAACAAACGTCCCTGCTCCTGGGATCTGGACCACTCGCAGTTCTGGCAGGGAGAACATGCAGCACTGAACCATCATAGTAAGTAGGCTGCAGGAAGACTCCATCAGGATACTTCTATCTGCTGCAACCGAAGGCTGGAATCCTGCCATGGGCACCACTGAAGTAAAGATCCGGGTAACGTTTCTTACCTGCCGCTGTTATTATTGGGGTCAAAGATTTTCCTTGCTCGATAATACACAAGTCTCCAGGGTCGTGGAATTCCTTCCGCTGCATGAAAATGAAACCAGGTCTCGGTTAAAGGACACTCCATTTATGACAATAATTCCCTTTGGGCTACTGGGGGGGGCACTGCATTCGAATCCACAAGTCACCTTGAATCGGTCAGATGGTGGTTAATTATGTGCCTGTCTAAGAAGCCATCTCAAAGATTTTTCTGGCTACAGTACGCTGAAGTGTGCTCTGGTGTCCACAAGATTTTTAAACAAGGAGAGAAAATAACTCACTCCTGATTCCACATTCATATTTGCCTGATGCTCAACTCCCTGTGCACCTCAGATGCTCACCTATCACGCTCCTTTCACTACTGGAGTGGGAAGCAGTAGCTCCAGGCACAGAGGAAGAAGAAGAGAAGAGATTGGATTTATGCCCCGCCCTTCACGACCTGAAGGAGTCTCAGAGCGGCTGACAATCTCCTTTCCCTTCCCCTCCCCACAACAGACACCCTGTGAGGTAGGTGGGGCTGAGAGAGCTCTGACACAAACTGCTCCTGAGGGAACAGCTCTGAAAGAACTTGTGACTGACCCAAGGTCACACCAGCAGCTGAACGTGGAGGAGTGGGGAATCAAACCCAGTTCTCCCAGATTAGAGTCCGCGCTCCTAACCACTACCCCAAACTGGCTCTCGGGAACTTGAACACACACCCCCGGGTCCCAAGCTGTGCTTTAATGTTGGCTTTTCCTCCAGCAATCAAAGTGTCGGGGAGAGCAGCTGCCTGTTAAGGCCCCCGCTCGCCCATTCCCCAGGAGAGGAGGGGGAACAGAGTTTAAAGCATTTAAAGCCGGCCTCTGCCCTCCGCTCCCCAATCGAAAGGGACCCCACAGGCAATGTTCCCTCTAAGCTGAGTTAGTGTGAGCTAGCTCACAGTTTTTTTAGCCTCGGGCTCACAGATTTTCGTCTTAGCTCAGGAAGGAGGGCTCCAGAGCACACTAATTTATGCAGCAGCCAAATCACTTGCTCACAAGTTTAATGCCAGTAGCTCACAAAGTAGAATTCTTGCTCACAAGACTCCACAGCTTAGAGGGAGCATTGCCCACAGGTAGCTGACCGAACCCCCCCTTCTCCCGCTTCTATTTTCTTTCCCCATCCCCCTGGTTCTCTCCCTTTTGTCAGCTCTGACAGGGTAAGCTCTCTGTGGCAGGGGGCTGCAAAGATCTGTGCATACTGATGGCACTACATACTACAGAAGTAGCAACAAGAAGAATGCTGAGCTTTGCATGTTATGTGTAAGCCCAAGAAGCACAGTCTTCCCTCTTGTTTACTTGGCTTCAACCTGTCAGGGTGCAGCAGCTCTAAGCAGTGGCAAATTTGACATCGTTATTCTAAAAGCCAAAGAATTTGCACGTTTTCCCATAAATTAAAAAAAACATTTACAAGCCAAACTGCACGCAATGCCGCTTCCTGTTTAGTGGAACTAAAGCTTATTAAGTGATGGAGCCAGCAGAGGCAAGAGTGTTGGACTCGCACTGGGGAGAGTCGGGTTCAAATCCCCACTATGTCATGAAGCTCTGGGTGATTTTGGGCCAGCCATTCTCTTTTGGCCAAACCTACCCCACGGGTTTATTGTGAGGATTACCATTTGCAGGTCCTTGGAGGAAGGTGGGATTAAAAGAAAAATGTAAGGAACAAACACAGCAGTTCCCAGACACATCCAGGATCTTAAAGAAAAAACACGCTCTCTAGAAACTTACTAGAGATCAATGCTCCCTCTAAGCTGTGGAGTGTGAGCAACAGTTCTACTTTGTGAGCTACTGACATTAAAGTTGTGAGCAGGTGATTTGGCCACTGCATAAATTAGTTTGCTCTGGAGCCCTCTTTCCTGAGCTAAGACAAAAATGTGTGAGCCGGAGGCTAAGAAACTGTGAGCTAGCTCACACTGACTCAGCTTAGAGGGAACACTGCTAGAGAGGTAGAACTCTTGAGCAAACTTAAGCACTCTGAGAAAGAATCAGGACTTTGTCAATGGAAGGGCTATACACAGGGTCACTTCCTCCGGTCACAGTCAAGGGTGCTGCAAAACGCTCCTCTTTGGCCGGATCACACCCGTTGGTTTCAGCCTTTTCTCCCCCGAGAACGAAGCTGTAGTGTAACCCTCACCGATCCTGATGCCGAAGAAATGCTCGGCTTTCAGCTTTCGGATGGCTGCTCTCTCTTCTGGAAAGCGGTGGGTGAACAAGAGCTTTTCAGCGCTTTCTATGCCGCTCTCCTTCAAGAAGGCCTCCACGTTCTTTCTCAGCTGGTCGTTCTCCTTCTTAGTAAACTTGCCAAACTTCACGGCAATACCTGAAACAAGGAAGGAGCATGAGAGTTGCACATCAAGATGTGCAGCTGAATACAGTGATTCCCATTGGGGGGTGGAGGGTGGCTAGGTCGGTCTCTCGCTATAGATACGAGAGAGGAGAAAACTGAGATGAATACGAGACCAAACCCCAGACCTGCAGCTACTTTGGGTGGGGCTGTGCTTGAACACCAGCCACTCTGGTGTGTCAGAGCATGCAAAGTTGAGCTGAACAGGCCAGGTGCCCTGACTTCACATGAGACCGTTTCTTTCAGATTGGGGGTGGAAAGTGCCATCAAGTCGCAGCCGACTTATGGTGACCCCTATAGAAGGATTTCCAGGGCTATTTCTGGGCAGGAACGCACAGGAACGGAGTTCCGGCTGGCTCCCAAGTTGGCCACGCCCAGCAGGAACTCATTAGCATAATAGGCCACACCCAAGAGCAGAAATGCATTAGGATTGGCTACATTAGGGGTGTGTGGCCTAACATGCAAAGGAGTTCCTGCTACAAAAAAAAGCCCTGGGTTTTGACCACAAACAAGGTCAACAGAAATAAGAAGCAAAAGGTGGCCGTGGCTGGATGACCACACTTCTGGTAACACGGGGGTGTGGCCTAATATGCTAATGAGCTGTGCTGTCATGGGTGTGGCCTAATATGCTAATGAGTTTCTGCTGTTGGGTGTGGCCTATTATGCTAATGAGTTCCTGCTGGGCTTTTTCTACCAAAAAAGCCCTGAGGATTTCAACGCGAGGTGATTGTCCATTGCCTGCCTCTGCATAACAGCCCTAGACTTCCTTGGAGGTCTCCCATCCAAATACTAACCAGGGCCGCCCTGGCTTAGCTTCCGAGCAGGGTTCCCTCCAAGCTGAATCCGTGTGAGCTAGCTCACAGTTTCTTAGCCTCCAGCTCACACATTTTTGTCCTCGCTCAGGAAGGAGGGCTCCTCAAACAGAGCTAGATAAAATCTGGCTCTCAACAAGTGATAAATTGATTCAAAAATTTATAAAAAATTCCTGGAAGATTTTAGTTCGGAGGATGGGATTAAAGATCCCAAATTAAGGTGGGAGAAGGAACTGGGTCACACAATAGATGAGAATAGTTGGCTCCAGGTTTGGAAATCGATCAAACTGTCAAGAGCAGTACCATTCAAAGAAAATATATACAAAATGTATTACAGGTGGCATTGGACGCCAAATAAAATCACAAAATGCTTTCCTGGCGCCACTAACAGATGTTGGAGATGTAGGAAGAATGTAGGGACATTCATGCATATTTGGTGGAAATGTGACAAGGTTTGGAAGTAGCGGAAATGGATAGAGTAAATATGGAATTAAAATATAGACCGGAAGAAAAATACTGGGATAAATGGGGAGTAATATATAACTGGCTGAAGATAAAGAAGATAGAAATCAATGGGAGCTAGGCTAGCAATATTAGGGAAAAGTTTAAGATAAAAGCGTAAGAGCACTGTTTAACATAAAACTTAAACCAGATGTTTGAGACGTATGTCTTGTCTGATATTATTATGTTGTTGGAGATTGTTAAGCGGTGTAATGATACCGTACAGAAAATCCAATAAATATATTATTATTTTTAAAAAAAAAGAAAAAGAAGGAGGGCTCCAGAGCAAACTAATCGCTCGCTCGCAACTTTAATGCCAGTAGCTCATAAAGCTTAGAGGGAGCATCGCTTCCGAGATCTAGCCTGGGCCATCCAGGTCAGGGCTCTTTCATATTACATATATTATATTCATGCACACGCAGGTGTATATCCGCACCCTACAGGTGAGACGACAGGCCTGGGCATGCTGGGTGGGATTTGTAAACTCCCCCTTTGAACAGCAGACCATTTCCTCTCTTCTCTCATAAATTCCGCATTGGCTGGAAGGAGACGTTTCTCCCCCACTCGGTGTCAGTTTGGCACAGAGTGGCCAAAGCTAGAGACCAAGCCCAATTTGGCCCGAGCAAAGCCTCCTTTCTCTCTTAAGAAGCAAGATAATTCTTTTAAACAGTGACTACTGTCCTTCTCTACATTTCCCACCAACCTGCAAGCGGGTTTCTTTTTTTTGGGGGGGGACGGGGACGGGACGGGACACCTGAATGCCAAACCACTGCTTTATTTCCCAGGCTGGCTTCTCAGGAGCAAAGGGCTTGCACGCTCCGGCCTGGGTGTCTCCTCTCCTGTAATGCTTCCTCAACAGAAGGTCAGAACACTTAAACTTAATGGGGCATACACTTTGGTGGGCCAGAGCTCATTCCCTCTCACATTTCCACCAGCCTGGGAATACTTATAGTAAGTGACATTAACAAGGCAATACAAGAGACCGGTGCGCTGCTTTCCCATACGAAGCACAAGTGGAGAGAAGATCTGCTTAAAAAAATTGAATCGGCCTGGGCGTAGTGGGCACCCACTCTGATTCTGACTGCATTTTCTTTTTCCCCCCTTTTTTAAGCCCCTGGAGGGGATTTTTTTTATTATTTTTGCAAACTACAAAAAACTACCACAGAAAAACAGGGAGGGGGACTACATATACAGGATAAAGAAAAGATACCCACACTACCTAAAAACCCAAGAGAGGAGATCTTCATTGGATTAGTTACAATAAATCTTCCCATCATTTAAGCTTAAAACAAACTGAGTCAATCATTAATAATACTTTTTCTTTTCTATAACTATTACACCTTCACTGTCTAAAGATAATACCCCCAAGCCATCTCTTTTCATCGTTTTCCAAGGCACAATTCAGAGTCCTTCAGCCTCTACTTCTCGTTTCCCCATCTTTTTCTTAGCTTATAAGGACTTTTAGGGGCAGCTGCCCCGCTGCATTTTCTTTTCATTCATGCTCTACGTAATAATTTAAATGTAGATTAGGGCTGGCACACCGTCACGTGACCAGTCGAACAGGAGAGCGGGTGGCTGACTGGCTGGCCTACAGCTGCTGTGGGTGACCCTCTTCTTCCTCTCCCTGCAAACCTGCTCCAAGCCCACAGAACAGCAGCAAAGGTTACTGTCCGGGACCACTCATGACTCCACCCTGCTTGCTGCTGGAACCAGACAACACCCCTCTCCCATTGGCTTTGATTTCTTTCTTTTTAAAATAGGTTGACTCCAAGCCAGCCCCCCACCTCCCAATATTTTAGAGCCAGCAAGCCCCTTTGGAATTCTGGCACAGTGTGGTGGACGCAGCCACAGAATGGCTCCCACAAAATGGCTGCCATAGGAGGTGCAGCCAGCCACAAAATGGCCGCCCCAGCTTAGCTTCAAGTCACCCAGTGCAGATCCCTGTGCTGCGGTGGCAGCTGCCGCCGTTGCAACGTCTCTAACAATCTGCACAGCCAATCAAATCTCCAACGGCCAATCGGAAGCCTTGCTAGACAGGAGCCCCACCCACAATCTAAAAAAAGCTGGTGGGCACCAGGCAAGATGGTAGTGAGTGCCATGGCGCCCACAGACACCACAGTGGGGACCTCTGCTTTAGGCTTCCCATCACTGTCGAGAGGCCAAAGATATTGGAAGCAGCCGTTCTAGGGACCCCAAAATGGAACCACAGACCGGAACCATTTTGCCACTAAACACAAGGGCAAAGGAACCAGTCGCATTCAAGAATACAGCCGAAACGACCCTCTCCGGCCATGACTGACTGAGGTGACTCCCAAACAAGCTGACAGTCTCCTGAAAAACTGAGTGGTCGGAAGTGGCCCTGCTGCTGTTATGGCACAGAGAAGAGTAGGGGGGAATTCCAGACGGTCAAGGCAAGGCAGGGAGATGCACAGTGAAGGGGCGTGCCAAGATGAATCTGGCAGGACCCCAAGCAAAAACAAACTTTGGTTGGAACGAGGAATTACTCCTCAGGTACAAATCCAATGGTGCGCCAGGAATGCATTGTGATTGTTTTGAGAATGCACTGGGGTAACACCAATTGGGGTTGGGATGGTCAGGCTGTGTCAGTGTAATTGCTCTTGCATTCCTTTCTGTGCTTCGCGCTGAAACGCTTATCTGTAAAGATGTGCAGGTGGGAGTTGTGGTGTCTGCCTTTTCCAGGGAGCCGTGGGAGAGTGCGAGTTCCCAGCTTCGGCTAGCAACGGTTTGCAAGCTTTATCCCACGCGCGGGAGGGTACCTAATTAGCCAGTGCAGTGGGTGTGTGTGTGCATACAAATACCCTATATCCTATTATGCTCAAGGGGCAACTGCCATTCTTAACAGTGCTTATGTTAATGCATCTATAGCTCTTCAATAAAGTATTACCTCTCCTGGAAAGTGTGCACTACGTTGCTGGCTGTGGGTTCTGACACCAATCCCCAAGACCCCCTTGAGTCCCAAGAAGGCTTTCAACCCAGGCTAGAGAGAAAAGCTCTTTAGTGCCACGTTTACCGAAGACTTACCTAACACTGTTAAGTCCCATAATGCTTAAAATTTTACAAAAATCTTACAGTTTTTGAAAGCTAATTCTAGCTGCAGACCAACACCCCCTCTGAAACGATCTCTCTGCTTCTCTTTGGAGAAGTAAGTTTTCGTCATTAACCCAACTCAAGGGACGCAGGTTTCGCTTCTCGATTACACACACAGTGCCATCTCTTGCAGTGCTTGATTTTTTGATGAATGTGCTGCCAAGGGGGCACCTTTAGCTCTGCCTGATTTGGTACTTCTGTTCTGCACTTCAGCTTTCTGCAAACCAAGAACCAAATAGCACTGAAAATGTTGAAAGAGAACCTGCGTTCTCCGTGCCGCAGCCTGGCATCCCTACCTGACTAGAGGTGCTGGGACTCCCCGAAGCACGATTCTAGGGAAAATTCGACTGCAGGCCAGCTTCCTGGACAGCAGCTGGTTTAAGATACAGTTGCTGAGTTATATCTCTCTCGGCTATGCTCCTGCAGAGTGCAGGGGGTTGGACTAGATGGCCTGCAAGGTCCCTTCCAACTCTAACATTCTATGATTCTATTCTATGATTCTAAGTAGGTTTAGATAAAGCTTTGGAGACAACACAATCCCAACTGAGCTGAATGGCATTTCCACGCTACCCTAAAAAACAAACAGACACGTACCCTTTTGCTTGAAGTTTCTAAACCGGACCAGATCTCGTGTGGCCAGCTGTCTGATGGCTGAAGCAGAGAGATTCCTCACGTGTGGAATGAACTCCCCCAGCTCCTGGGTGGCTGTATCCAGATCTGGTAAAACAAGCTCAGAAGCGTCCAGAAACTCATTCTCCTCTACGAAAGATGCCTGAGAAGCAGGACTCCCCATGGAAGACAATTTTCCCACATCTTTGAGGATCTCTGGTAACCTACCAGGGAGCAAAAGATAACATGTTACTGGGCAGGATCATACATCCTTTCTTTAAAGAACATTTGCTTCTCTGGGCTGTCTCGCTCCAAGAGTGGAGGAGAACAGTTATCAATTTGAATCTCAATGCCCTTCCTTGCAGTTAAGGGTTACCGAAGGTCAAGCTGACACTGGCAGATCAGTGAGTTAAAAACTCCAGTGATACTTTAAAGACGCACAACCTTTATTTCCATAGGAACTGTAATGAGCACCGCTCACGAAAGCTCCTATTGAAATAAAGGTTATGCTTTCTGCAAACCAAGTAGCACAGTAGCACTGGAATAGACTCCTGCATAGTCAGGAGGGGGTTGAGAGCGCCCTCCTGACATATAGAGTTTCCTATGAATCCTAGAGAGGCATGCCATCACTTCCAGGTTTTCCTCGGAAGTGACATCACGCTGTCACTCGGTGATCCCTCATCTCCCTGCCCCAGACTCCCACCAATTTCTAGGCCATGCCTGGCAACCCTACCTTTCTTTCAGAAAGTAAACTTGCATTCCCGTTCCACCATTCAAGATCCAGAGGTGAGGGGAGAGGCCTTATCTTGTCTCTTTGGAACAACCAAGATGGTCTGCGCCTATTTTGGAAAAATGGCGGCCATTGTTTTTCACTTTACATATTTTTTCCCCACCATACGGGGAGTGCAAATGTGCAGAATGTTCTGTGAACATTTTAGACTTTCCAGGTTGCAGCCTGAAGAACAGCACGCTGGCTTCAAATGCCTTGGTGCCAGCCCTAACTTGGATAGCCCAGGCAAGCCCAATCTCGTCAGATTCAGCAGCTAAGCAGGGCAGACCCTGGCAAATATTTGGATGGGAGACCTCCAGAGAATACCAGGGCTGGGAGGTAGAGACAGGCTATCAAACCACTTCTCTGAACGCCCTCCATGCCGCAGCTGAAGTCGCCAGAGGTCACCATGACTTCTAGGCATGGGCACACACACACAAATGCAAAAATACAAATGCATCTGATTTTAAGACCCAAACGTTGGACAACGGGTGAGTCGTGTTCCTCCCTTTCCATCTAGTACATTTTTATTCCAACCTTCTTCCAAGGAGCTCAGGGCAGAGTTCTCCTTTCCTGTTTCTTCTACAAAGCCACTCTGAAAGTGAATAGCTCAAGACTACCCAGTGACCACCAAAGAAGAGTGAGGATGTGAACCCAGATCCGCCACTTCCTAGCCTGGCATTTGCAAATTCTCTCCCTCCTTCACCTTGTTTCTGGTAGTTGTGTCCCCCAATAGAGATGTTCCTTCAGGTCACTTCAAAACTGAGGAAAAGACCTTGGGAGAGATCAAGAGGAGGGGGGCTCATGTTGGCCAAGAGCTCAGAAATCCTCACTGTGCAACTTTTTTGCTCTTAAAATCACCCCTCCCTACTTCTATGAGTAAATTGGAGTTTAAACAAATGTATTGGCCACCACTGTCTAATTAAGCCTGGAGAATGAATGTAGCAAATAATTAATAACTTTTTTGAGCCTGGGGAGACCTTTGGAATTCTGACACAACATGGTGGGCACAATCCAAATATGGCTGCCAGAAAATGGCTGCTGCAGGGGGTGGAGCCAGCCACAAAATGGCTACCGTAGCTTACCTTTGGTCAGCCAGTGAAGATCCCTGTGCTGCGGTGGCAGGTGTTGCCAAAGCAATGTTTCTGGAAATCTGCACAGTCAATCAAATCTCCACTGGCCAATCCAAAGCCTTGCTGGGTAAAGGTGCCACCCACTTTCTAAAAACACATGGTGGGTGCCATGGCATTCACAGGCACAATGGGACTCTCTGGTATATGAAGTGCTGTGAATCCTTGAAACGGATGGCATTGAAACGGAGAAGCGCTTCCATTTTCTTGAACCGTCCCTCAAAGGCTACTTACTCACTGCTGTCTTCTGAAGGGAAAAGTTTGCCCTGTGATTTGTTTTTTATCTGGTCGTGATCGGTAACAGACTTTGCAGTCTCTTCAAAACCTACACTGGAACCGTCAGAGTCTTCCATTCCAGAAGATTCTTTATGCTTGCGGGGCTTCCTTGGTGTAACATCGGTATGGTCAGAGCCTTTCGTGCCAGAAGGTTTTTTATGCCTGCGGGGTTTCCTTGGTGTAACGTCGGTAGTATCAGAGTCTTCCACGCCAGAAGACTTTTTATGTTTGTGTGGCTTCCTTGGTGTAACATCGGTACTATCAGAATCTTCCATGCCAGAAGACCTTTTATGCTTGCGGGGTTTCCCTGGTGTAACGTTGGTAGTATCAGAGTCTTCCATGCCAGAAGACTTTTTATGTTTGTGTGGCTTCCTTGGTGTAACATCGATACTATCAGAGTCTTCCATGCCAGAAGACCTTTTATGCTTGCGGGGTTTCCCTGGTGTAACGTCGGTAGTATCAGAGTCTTCCATGCCAGAAGACTTTTTATGTTTGTGTGGCTTCCTTGGTGTAACATCGGTACTATCAGAGTCTTTCACGCCAGAAGATCCTTTATGCTTGAGTGACTTCCTTGGTGCAACAGGGCTACCCAGTTCAGTAGAAGCGGCCAACTTGGTTGCTGCTTTCTTCTGAGAGAGGCCTGAATGCTGCGTTTTACACGGTGAGGAGGTGAAGAGCTCCACTTGTGAGTCCTCTGCACTGCTGTGGATGGCCTCCTTGTGCTCGTCTGAACTTGGGTCAGTCCTATTTTGCATGGGCCCAGCAGAGACTTTGCTAGCCTCATCCTGATTGGCTACAAAGGCCTTGGCTCTCTTCTTTTTGACCAGTGTCCCTCCGTCAGTCCAATCCCTGTTTCCCAAACCATCTGCTCTGGGTTGACTGCTAGCCTCTTCTTGACTCGGAGGGACACAGAGCCAGTCGCCACCATCTGGCTCACTAGGACCCAGTTTCCTCTTCTTTTTCTTCTTGGGCTTGCAAACTTCCATTCCAGCATCGCTGGTCAGCTCACTCTCAGTTGTGACATGAGAATAATCTAACTGGGAAGCGGATCTCTCCCGCCTGACTTTCTTCTTGGATTTCTTTTGAAGAGTCTCGCTGCCCTTAGTGGCCTGTTCATCAAAGTCCCAGGAAAAAATGGAGGAATGATCAGATGACAAAGGCAAATCAAAGCCAGCCCCGGCAGGCTGCCCATGTTTTTCTCTGTCAAGTCTCTTCTTTTTCTTCTTCTTCACTGAGTCCGAGATCTGAAAACCGTCTGCACACGATTCCTTACTTGCATTTATCATTTCCTTAAAACAACAACAACAGGTGGAGAGTGTTAAAATGTACACGGGCAAAGCTTCAAATCTTTAAGCCTTTCATTATTGGAAAGGTGCACCAACCCTCTTCTGCATCATTTCCCCTTCTACAATACCCTTTTTAAGATACGGCCACCAGAATCATACACAGTATTCCAAATGCAGGTGCTGTATGGTTATGATGCTGGCTTTTAGCTTCTATCCTGGCAAGAAGTTTGTCATAATGGTGCTGCACATTGAATTGCCACTTTCACCAAACTATCCACTACACTTCCAACATCTCTCAGTCCCCACCAGTTCAGACCCTATCAAAATATAATTAAAGTTAGGAATTCCCACCCGCCCCACATGCACTCCCAATCCCCTTACATACACTAAACTTTGTTTACCACATTTTTGTCCACTTGCTTGGGAAACACCAAGAAGCTCATATGCCAGTCTTATGAGTTCTTAGAAACATAAAGTGCAGTGTGTCTAATAAAGTGTCACATACTGTGATCGTCTCCCCCCATGTTAAAATTTTTTTGTTTAGGGCCAGGTCAGCTGTCTTAAGATCTGATCCTTAACATTGCATACTTTAGACAGCACTGGCTTTAAGCACCCCAATGTTTTCTCAGCCCCCTGGTATGAAACATGGGGATAGTTAAGTAAGTTTTTATCCTGTCATCTTAGAGCTCAAGGGGTATAGGAGGGGTTTCCAGGTGTTCCATCTAGCTTCAGCCAGGTGGCTGCATCATTTGTGTTCCACACATTTCATGGGATAAAAATACAAAGCTAAGAGCTGCTGAGAACAGTATACACTTTGAACTACATTGGACAACATTTGATGTTATTTATAACCCACCCACTCCACTAATTACTTCCCAATATTAAGCCACTCCTGACAGATCCTGGAGACCCCAGGGCCAGTATACCCCAGACTTAGCCATGATGAGCAAAATGGATCTTGTTCAGTGGAAGACAGGTTAACTCTACATAGGCTTGTGGGTTCAGAGTTGCTATGAAAAGCAGCTGAGAGCTGTTGCTTTGGGAACCAAGCTGGTGGTGGTGGTGGGGGATTCCCTTGTCAATGTAGTTGGTGGCAAAACAAAGCTTAAGAATAAGGCTAAGAGACTGACCAGTTACCATGGCAATGCTAGGAACCAATATGGTCATATGTACAGGATATTCTGTTTAAGGGAACGCATATCATAAAGGCCCTGATCTGGATGGCCCAGGCTAGCCTGATCTTGTTAGATCTCAGAAGTTACGCACGGTCAGTCCTGGTCAATATTTGGATTGAAGACCACCAAGGAAACCCAGGGTTGTTATGCAGAGACAGGCAATTGCAAAGCATTTCTGAATATCTCTTGCTTTGAAAACCCCATGGGGTCACCATAGGCTAACCTCTGACTCGACGGCCCTTTCCATCACACGCACTACATATGAGAAGGGGAATCACATGAACACACACCAGTCATGTTGTCCCTGGTCAAGGAATAGGACAAAAAAATGGGGAAACAAAAACATGGAGAAATTTGCCTATAGCTTGGCTTCCACCTCTAAGAGTGGAGTTCCATGACTAATTAGTGAAAAAGGCATAAATGGTTCAAAGCAAGAGCAGGTTCAGCCGTTTCTCATCCTTTCTCCTCCTCACAACCTTATTTCTTAAGCCCATCCTCTTAGTTTCCCTCTACAAGGAGAGAGAGGAGAGATTGGATTTATACCCCGCCCTTCGCTTGGAGTCTCAGAGCAGCTTACAAACTCCTTTCCCTTCCCCTCCCCACAACAGACACCCTGTGAGGTTGGTGGGGCTGAGAGAACTCTGACACAAACTGCTCTTTTTCAAGCACAGCTGTGCCAGAGCTTGTGACTGACCCAAGGTCACATCAGCAGGTGCAAGTGGAGGAGTGGGGAACCAAACCCGGTTCTCCCAGATTAGAGTCCACGCACTTGACCACCACACCAAACTGGCAAGTAGCAATTCAGGCTATTGGACTTCTGGACAGACTAGATTGTTATACACTCAATTTGAAATACAGACTGCCTGAAGACATTTATGCTCCACGATCTCTTCCTCATTTCAGACTCCCCTTTCCACCAGGCTCACGGACCCATACTTGCCTCTCCTCTTCCCGTTTTATGTCCACAAACATCCCTCTCAGGTAGATCAGGCTGAGACTGACTAGACCTAAGGCTAAGAGACTGGCCAGTTACCATGGCAATGCTAGGAACCAATATGGTCATATGCACAGGATATTCTTTTTAAGGGAACACAGATCATGACAAAAAAAAGAAGAGGTTATAATCCGCTGCTACTTCTACTATCCAGGTGGGTAGCCATGTTGGTCTGAAGCAGCAGAACAAAGTCTGAGTCCAGTGGCACCTTTGAGACCAACAGGTTTAATTCTAGGTATAGGCTTCCGTGTGCATGTCCCTTTCTTCAGATACTTCAGAAGAAATGTGCGTGCGCACAAAAGCTCACACCTTAAATTAAAAACTTTGTTGGTCTTAAAGGTGCCACTGGACCAATGTTCCCTCTAAGCTGTGGAGTCTTGTGAGCAAAAATTCTACTTTGTGAGCTACTGGTATCAAAGTTGTGAGCGAGCGATTTGGCTGCTGCATAAATGATTTTGCTCCAGAGCCCTCCTTCCTGAGCTAAGACAAAAATGTGTGAGCCGGAGGCTAAAAAACTGTGAGCTAGCTCACACTAACTCAGCTTAGAGGGAACACTGCCCCGGACTCAGACTTCCTTCTACCTTTACTAAAGTTATGGTCGTTGATGCTGCTAGAACCCCCTTTAAGACAAACTTCCCCCCCAATCTCCCACAGACCACAGAGGTTCCCGCAGGACAACTCGCTCCGCACGTGCACTCACTCGTCCACGGCGCGGCTCCCCCACGTTTCCCGAGCTACACTTCCGCCTTCTCTGTCTCACTTCCTCGGGAACACGGAGAGAAAGGGGGCTAGACCGTCCAGCGGATCCCGTCGCGATTTCTACGCCCACTTCCGGTCTCCCTTTAAGGCCTTCACTACAGGGAGAGACGGGGGAGGGGATATCACCACAGAGATGCCGAAGGACAGAGCGACGCCAGGCCGCGCCTAAGGCCTGGCCGACGGCTGCTTTCGGTTTTGTTTTGCTGGCCGGAAATTCGGACTGCAATGGCTCACGGGACCGGAAGAGAGGGAGCCAAGCGCGCGAGAACCCGCTCCCCTCGCACTAAAGAAACGAGATTATTCCACTCCCCCCGCCCGCTCAGGCTACTGTGCCGCTCTAGGCTCTCCGCTCGATGGTTGCAGCGGTCGAGGCGCCCGGAAAAGGGAGGCCAGGAGAGCGAACTGAGCCACTCCGGGGAGGGGGCGGAGCTCGCTGTCTCGCCGGAAGTGGCGCCAACCGGGGCGAACGGACGCGAGCGGCGGATGGGCTGGCGGCGCCGGGCCTGAGGGAAGGCGGAAAGAGGGGAGAAGCGCGAGGCGGAGCTGGCGGGCGGGCCCATGGCCTGGCCTGACCCCGGAGACCGCCGCGAGGAGAAGGAGGTGAGGGGGGGGAAGGCGCAGGGGGGGGAGGCCTCGCCTCAAGAAACGGTCACGATAATAATCGCCGCCGCCCCTTTTTGTCGTGCAGGCCCCGCCCCCGGGCTGTGGCCCCGCCCCCGAACGCTCCTCCCTTTGCCCCCACAGTTCCTTCCCACCCGCAGAGATCTCCTCTGCCCGCCGGGCCTCGAGCCGGCTCTTTGTTGCAGCCGAACTTGGCCCGCTTTCCCCTGCGCGACCCGCCCCTTCTCCCCCCCCCGTGCCACCTCCCGCCAGGGGAAGGGCGACATGCACGTGCTTCTTCCCGTGCGTGACGGGTTGCTTTGTGGGTGACTTCCTCGTCGCAAACCGTGGCTCGCGGAAGGGCGACCGGAGATGGGATAGATGGGATTTTTTAACGCTAGTTGGGGTTTTGGATGGGGTAGATGG